TACAATGCCTCGCAAGAACTTGCACCGATGTGTTGATCCCAGTCACACGTCACCATTTTTCATGAATAACACTAGTTAGGTAGCAGTCTAAGAAGGACTGAGATGCTGCTGCCAGTGTTAGATTCACTCCTTCATCTGGTGTTTCATAATGATTCTTTAATTGGACTGTTTCACAACTTACAGTAGGCTGATGGATAAAGGCATACCTGTACCACATGCTGTGTAGTACTGTTGGCACTGGCTGCTGAGCTCAAGCCTCTTAGTGTTTTACATCACAAATGCCTAAGACTGAGATAAGCTTTGTTTCAGATAATGGCTGCTTATCTGCTGACTACTTGGTGATGTAGATAAACTAACCAGAGTTAAACCTGACCAACATTTATATAGAGGCTGATTTCACAGCATGTGCCTAATGGAAAACTAAAGACAACTGGTACATTCATGCTCAGACTGTACTGTAGGAAACTTTCTAAAACCTATCTAATCTCAGGCTGGAGTTTGGTGTATGAATCATACCAGTGTCCGTGCAGGCCCTGAGAAGGCTGATGATTCAGTGCAACTGCATCCATGTACTTTGTCATGTAACTTGTTTTGTGCTTAATTTATGCTGCATAATTAAAACCAAAAACAATACTCTGCACGGTGGAAAATCCAGTTCCTAACTAACTGAAAAAGGAAACAAGAAAACTCAAGGAGCCAATCGCAGCTGACACAGGTGAGAGGCGGGGTCCTCCCTGGACAGGTCACCGCTGTATCTCAGGGCTGACATGTAGACAAACACACACACACTCTCACACTCTCTCACACACTCACTCCTACGGGCAATTTAGTGTCGCCAGTCAACCTAAGCTGCATGTCACAGGAAGCCCGAGTACCCGGAGAGAACCCACACAGGCACAGGTAGAACATGCAGAACCCACACAGAAAGACCCCAGGTCGGCCGGGACTTGAACCCAGAATCTTGCTATACTTTGTGTTTGAGGTAATTATCAATTGCTAGCATGCTAAACTAAGATGGTGAGTACGATTAAACTACTAAACATCCGCTTGATAACGGTGTCACTGTGAGCATGTTTGCCTTCCTTCCTACCTCATATGACTCAGATGTCATGTTTTATTTCAGACTTGTAACATAAAAAGAAAAAACCATTTGTGTCTACATCACTCTCTTAAAACTTCACTTTTTGTTATAAATCATGACTCAAAACTAACTTGAAACAGTGATTAGTGTATAAGACTTGCAGGCATTTTTTTTTTTATTAGATCCAGGCGGAAAGAAGTGTCTTATCCAAGACCAAAACACATTTGTTCAACGACTGCTCCACAAATGTGGCACTGCAGCAGACACTACACTCCCACAGGTGTCTCTCTAACCACTGGGCTTCACTTTAAAATGTCAATTATAAACTCTGAGACCGCTTTCTAAAATGAGGTCAGTGCAGAGAGAGGTTTGGTCGGGAACAGTCATCTTGTGTGTGTGGATTAGCTGCGAAGCCCGGTCAGAGGCAGCAGCTGGATAAGCTGAGCTCAGTGTTGTGTTTGGGAAAAAATTGGCTGAGAGTGTGAGGTAGGGGGACTGATGAGGGGCTGAGGAAGCCATGTTGTAAAGTCATTCAAACAGCGTCCTCTGTCCACCCATCTACAGACAGTGCATGTGTCGTGGGTCTCACAGCAGTGTTTGCACTCTTGCGCTGGCCTCTGACCACAGTGCCTCGTGCAAACTTTTACAAAACATGTTGTGTTTTTTCTGTGGCTTGTGGTTCTCTGCACACTGCTTATTGACTGGCAGCCTCAGTGTAGGATTTGCTGTGTGCTCTCTCATGTGACATATACTCTACATGCACAAACACACACTGTCACCCAGAGCACGCAGTTGTGAATATTGTTCTTATGGTGGAACTCCATAACACCACAGCAAACGACAGAGCTCTGACCTACTTATACATAACCCACTGGGACAGGGGATTCAATCTGGTCACTACAACCTGCAACTTCACACACATGCAGCTCAGGTTTCTATGGTGGAAACTCAGTCAAGTGATCTCCCCAGAAAATATCCAGAAACCCTGTATGATTGCATTTAAAGACTGCACACATGACCCCAGCGCTACAACTAACAATGGCAATTATTTCTCCATTTTATTTTCCTTTTTGCTCCATAAGACATGAGAGAGCCCAAAGTGACATCTTCGAATCTCCTTTTGCCGACCAAGAGTCCAAAACTCAAAGATATTCTGTTCACTGTACTTTAAGATAAGAACCAGTTCCTCACACTGGACAAGCTGGAACCCGAGATGCACCAATCGACCGGCAGAGACTGGAAATCACCGGTTTTCAATGTGATTGGTCTTGACCAGTGACCCGCAGATTGAGCTGAGATTTCCGAAACCGTATCAATCAGATTTGGAAAAACAACAGTTCATGTCGCGTGCACAGTGACACATCACGTGCACCTCAAGCGAGGCTCACGCTCATGTCTGTACCGGAGCGATGTTGACTCCTGCATCAGAATGCACCAGTAGATACCTTAGGTTGACACTGGTCTAGAAGTTGAATGAACTGAAACACACTGAGAGTCGCAGTGAGGAAACACTCTGCTGTTAAACTCATTCATGCTTCCAGGAAAAGCAACAGTGTTCCCACCTAATGTTCCTGCTGGAGGAAGGAAGTCTCACAAAGCCTGTTTACCATAATGTCTTCTGTTATGGCCTGACCTGACAACAAAGTGAGAATTTATATCACACAATGTGCCAAAATTCATTCAGAAATGCATTATTACTCTTGTCTGATTTTTCAATAGAGCAACTGTATTTCTGTCTTTTTCCTCTGCTCTCCATCACTCTCTACTTTTCCCAGTCCTCTCCTCTTACTGTATCTCCCTCTCCAGCCCTGTTCGCCCTTTAGCCTCTTTCCTTCTGTCCTTCCCTTTCCTGTATTGATCCCCTCTCCTTTCAGGGCACCTCACCAATTCTCTCCTCTGTGCCTTCTCCAGTCCTCTAGTCTCATCTTGTCAGATCTCCTCTCATCTCCCATCCAGTCTAACATTTCTTACAAATTCCTAACCCCTCTCCTCCTTTCCTCTCCTTGAACAGCTCTTCTCTGTACCTCATCCTCTCCCTTATTCCCCTCCTATGATTACCTTCCACAGACACATCTGGCTCGAGTTACTGTCTGAGCTGGAGGAGGGTGGTGGGAGGAAGACTGTCTCAGAGCAGCCCATCCAAATCCAAACATTACTGTTTGCAACCAAAGGCAGGGAGCCGGAAAGCTCACAGAGAGGCTACGGCAAGCAGCAAGGGAGATAAAGGACAAATCCTTTACCCCTCCTGCAGGCCCTTACATGCTCCTCTGGGCAGTGGGATGAACAGTATTCTCCGTCTCCACCACCCTGACACTTTGTCTGCTTTGTAAAGACGACCTCAGCTGGATTATGTCGCTTTTACACGTGTTCAGTCAAACAAAAATCATTCTCTCATTCAGTATTTATTGATGTCATCTAAGACTCGACCAGAGGATAATATAGTATATTTTGCAAGTTTGTTGTAAGTAACAAATCACTAATTGGTTAGGAGGCTAACAGCAACAACAGCAGCATAGTGTTTAATATTTTAGTATTATTTAGTCATATTTACAGCATATCAAGTCAAAAGGCTGTAGTCCAGAAAGTATTCTGCGATTACGTCAAGTTAAGAGCCATGAGGTTTGTGATTTGAGTCATACTCATGTGACTTTTGTCCACAAAATCTGAACAATGAACAGCTTCATTAGTAAAACTACACCGTCCACTGCTTGGTTTAAAAAAGGAATTTACACAAAACATCCTGGGAAAAATGAATATGTGGCCTATTTTGGTAAGGATGGATGTTAAATCATGATCTTCTCATGATATTCATTCATCTGAACATCTGAAAAAAGATGTTTTATTTGGCACAAAGAGAAAACTGCTCGTCATCTCTCTAGACAGCAGAAATGACCTATTGCTCTTAAGGAATGATCAGACTGAAGGAGACTGATGACAACGAGCCAAAATATGAAGCTGGTCAGGGAGAGGAACTAATGGACGGCACAGATGGATGACAAATTAAAGGGAAATCCAGAATAAAAAACATGCAAGGGTCACCAAATAATCTGCTGATCATTTTCTAAATTGATTTATATTTTTCCACAGAAAGTCAGAAATGTGGGGAAAACAGGCCTGGTGTGACTTTCCAGAGTTTATGGTGGTGTCCAGCCAACAAATGCAAGGAGATTCAGTTTATAATCATCAAATCATAAGAAAGTGAAATGGAAGAAGAAAAGCAGAAATGAGGAAGTGTAACTCAGACACGAGTTAAGTCGACTGGCTGCAGGCGGCAGCACTTATTCAAATCCCAGTTAAGACAAAACTGAAGAAATGTGAGAGAGGACAGTGTCTTATCTGGTGTCCAGCAGTGGAAAAGAGCTCATTTTGTTCAAAGTGTCTGGAAACATCACCCTAACAGTGTTTTCAAATTCAGGTTGACAAGACCTTTTGTGACAGTAAGGAGAGAGGGGAGAGATACCCACACTAATTTAGTCCTATCTCAGAGTCTCACACTTCAAAGTCAGGGGCTGGATCTGTGCCTGGCAGACCGACAGCAGATAACAGCATCGTAAAGCAATCCCACCTCCACTCTCGCCTGCTCTGATTCACACAGCACAACACAGGGATCCCATGCATTTTACACTTCAAGATTTCCTTTTTCCACCCAAAGCACTGTAACACACCAAGTACCTTTTTGGAAAACAAGACAGAATTATGGGTCTGAATCAGCAGCTAAATTTGTGGTATCTGCTTAAGAAGAAGTGGTGATGACTACAGGGGGGTCTCAATGGGCAACACTGGCCTACAAGTGCAGATAAACATTGCTTCAGTCCAACCAGCAAGAAACACAGACACGTACACGTGCACCATTGTCCACATTAATGCTCAGGTCTGATCTGACTGTTCTGACAGCGCTCGCACAGTCAGAGGTCGGAGAGGAATTGGGTCTAGGAACACATATGCAGGTGGCCCAGATCTGGTCTGAGGACACCTGGTCTGGTCTGTTCACACCACTGTGGACACATCAGGTCTGAGGTGCTGGGAGGGTCAAATAAAATCTGATTCCAGCCACTTCAGTTATAATGTCAATGTAGCACAAGACTGAAACCAACAAATATTCACATTTGGGAAGCTGCAAGAGGTGAATTTCTGTTTTCAGTTGGTTCAGTCTCTGTATTTTTATTTCTACTCTGCTGCATAGAGAGGATTAGCCTCATGGGACAGTCAGTTAGGCTGTTGTGTTGTTGTATCCACAATGAGATTTCACTGTACAGTAAGAAGAGTCAACAGATGTGTCCATCCAGCGACCCTGTGTCCCCTACCTAGCTGCTCATTAACTACAGAGCTTCAGAAGACAGACTTCAGAGAGCAAAGTTTCAGGGACCTTGGCACATTTTCCAGTGATGTTGCAATAAGGTAAGGGGGCAGATGATTACATTACATAGGCTGTTATGTAAAGTGCGGGATCATATATTTGACCCCATATCAGTGACTATGAGCAAAGCAGTAAAAGCCAAGTTCGGTAAAGGTTTACAGAGCTGTATATCTATTGTTCATGTACACTCTCGTTTTACTGCCACACGTCTCTGGTCTAATGCAAATGGAACCAAATGGACCCAAGTGTACACACCATCAGTACTGATCACGGGGCTAGAGCGAAAAGTGAGAACTTGAGTGAGTGAGTATTTAATATGAATAAAGTTTTTTACTTTCAGAAAGCAGTGTTCAGAGGCTACATACATATCAGGCCATAAATCAAGTTTTCATAGCTGAATGAAAAAGAACTGCTTCTCATTCCATCACAACAAACAATGGCCATCACAGTGGACTCCTGTCATACAGTACATCATTCAAACATTGTTCCATTCGTTTCCTTTGTAACTGACCGTTCTGCTTTATACTGACAGGTGTTTCTATTATTTTGGACAGCAAAAGGTCAGCAGCGGATGCATGTTTACTTCTGACTATCAACAATTTCACTGTGCTTCTTGGGACAGGGCAAAGTTCCTGAGTCAAGTTTCACCACACTGCTTATTGTTTGCTCTGCTCTCAAGTGAATCTTAAGGATTTGCTTTCCTTTTTTAGATCCACACTGGCTTCTACCTGGCTAGTCTCTCCAGAGAAATGATAGCCTATCATAAAGAGTATCTTATTAAACAACAACATAAGGTAACAATAACCATAATTGGCCTATTCAAGGCATAATAAACAGCAGAGACTTAACGTCTCTAACTCGGCTAAGTTAAGGAAGGTTGCTGCTTTCTGACGATGCTCTGAAAATAACTTCACTAACCTAAAATGTGCAGGACAGATGTTTGATAAAAAGGGTAGAACTACGGTCAAGTGGAACTTCTACTGGGAGCCCCACGGGCAAACACCACAAGAGGAACTTTAGTGCAAATGAAGAGGAAGCGGGCCCTGAGCACTTCTCCTCCTGCACGTTTCCACCAGTGTGTATCACCAGGCATGTACTTTACCTCCCACCGGCCGTAGGTCATGAAGAACAGGGAGAAGGGGATGGCCGTGCCCGACATGGCGTGAGTGGACGGCATGCTATACTCCGAGTTGTAGAACACCTCCACTTTGACCAGCCGGGACCAGCCGATCACGTCCTTGGTGCACTGTCCGAGATACATGACCCAGACCCAGACCATGATCAGCCTCCTGCCTATGAAGGCGTCCACGTTCCATATAACGAATGGGAAGAAGGTGATGTAGAAGAACTCGTTGCCCAGTTCGGTCCCTAAAGTGAAGAGGTAGTACAAGAACCGGTTCTCGATCAGAAACTCCTGCCCGACGTCGCCGGTGAGCGAGTTTTTGCGGAGGGGTTTTACCGTACCGATCTGTGGAGCACCCGGGACTTCACAGCCCTTTTCTGGTTCCCTCTCCTCCGACTCCGTTCGCCCTGAAAGGTCCGGACCGGCATCGCCACGACCGGCCTGACCCGTGGCTGCAGCCCCAGGGAGTCTGCGCCCTCCGGCCTTTTCCCCGCCGCGGTTCACGGCGGCCACCACTGCCCCGTTCAGGGTTGAATCTCCACTTCCCTCCCGCTGGGTTTTCACAGTGTTAGACTCGGCAATCCTCTTCCGAACCCCCACTGCTGTCATTAGTACTTCATCCCCTTCTTCAGCTCCAATGGCGGCCAAGTTTTCATTTTCATTTTCCCCGGTGATGTGATGATGACAAGCCCCGTTATTGTGCGAGCAAGTCCGGTCCGCCTCCTTGCTGCTCCCGTTAGTGTTGGAAGGACTAGCAGCACAGACGGTCCTCGAAAACATCTCGCGGACCCCACACATTTGCTGAAAGCGGGAGACAAGGTGGGGGTCTTGGAGATAGCGGAACAGCTCCATGAAACGGTTCGTTTTCTCCATGCTTAATCCGGTTTAACCACCCCGACACTACCGAGAGAAGCCACACGCACCCCGCTACTTTGGATGCTAGCTGTCCGGCTAACGTTAGCCAGCTAATCCACGCATAATGACGAAGTGCCGCTCAGAACTGAACGTTTATAAAGTATAACAAGTTCAAAAAAGACAATGTTCTGTTTTCTGTTAAGGCGATATCGGATCGAACGAACTTAAAGGCTTTTACTGGACACGCTGAGGATGCGCTCAGACTCCCGTTATCAGAGCAGTCTCCTGTGAATGACAGCCCGAGTGAGCGGCCAGGGGAGCCCGCCTTCCCTGGTGCCTTTTAGTGCCGTCGGAAATTGTGCCTCCGATTTTGCACTAATGTAAAACAAAGCAAACGTAAGTTTAAATGATTTACACCTTGAAGCACCTGTCGTTTTTGATTCGATTGAATTTATACGTGTTAATTATGTAAATTTAGGCTATGATTTTGCTTACGGTTTCAGTTTAGTTTTTCTTTAGTTTTTGACAGGTGGGTTATTTTTTTTAGATTAATTGACAGAACCAATTAGTGTTACAGTCTGCACAGGTAACACTGGGTATGGTAGAAATGTCTGAGGTTTAATATGGTTGAAGAAGATGCTCATGTCTCTGTCTCTGTCAGTGTAAGTTAATAAAATAAAATAAAATAAATTCAGAGACATCTTTCACACTATGTGAGCCCATTTTTGACTTTGACTGCAAACTGCAAAAGTCAGATTTACTTCATATTATTGGTAGTGGTGGAATGTACCTAAATACATTTACTCAAGTGTTATACTTACAAATTCGAGGCACTGTTCTTTTCATGCAGCTTTCTACTTCTACTCCATTAGCTTACATTTCAGAGATACACATTTTACTTTTTACTCTTCTTGGTTTATTTGTCAGACATAATTAGTTGACAGATTCAATTTTTGCATACAAAATATAGCCTACACAAAGCTCTAAAGTGATTTCTTATAAATCAAACTGCCAGACATTACAAATATAGTTGATTTGGTTAATCAGTCAATTGACAGAAAATTAATTGGCAGCTATTTTGATCACTGATAAAGTCAATTTTCATGGTTTCAGCTTCTCAGCTGTGAGGATTTTCTGCTTTTCCTTTACATTTTTTAGCCATTTTAATTTATTTTTAATATGTTTGGACTATTAGTTGGATAAAAGAAGCATTGTGAAGGTGTTACTTTATCGCTCAGATCTTGCACCTAAACTTTTGAATATAAAGATAACAGTAAAATGTAAACAAGAATGTAATCACGGTAGATTAAATAATATGTTGTGACAAAGAATGGAGAACATTTAGATAGAAATCGCCAGTATTAGATTGTTTCCATTTGGGTGGATGTTGGATGGGGACATTTGCTTTGGATCTTCTCCATACATTCATGATTTGAATGAAGCGACGACTTGACTCAAGAAGGACTTGAAGGCAACAGGAGTTCCTCCGTACACGTACAATGGACGTGCTCAAGACGTCACGACGCGATGTGACCGCGCTTAGTCTGTAGCCTATTACTTTGTAGGGCAATGTATATACAGTATATTAAAAATACAATTAAATAAGTATATAAATAGGTCTATTAAAATAGTGTGCAAATAGTTAAAATGCGTCTACTACTTGTGTAGCTACACAACGATGCATAAAAGCACACATCTGTCACCTTACATATTTCATCAAAATATTAAGCTGTTGTTTTAAAATAATCTGTAATTTTATTTACTGTAGTAATGTCATATTTTTTATTGTCGTGATTGTTATAAGATCCGTATTTTCCAAACTTCGTAAAACTCTCAGACATAGACTCAAAACACATAGAGTGACACTGAAAAGAGAATTAATTATTGTTGCCATACAGCAGATTAGTCTGTTTTATAAAGCACACATTGTGCCACATTACATAATAAAATATTTTCTGACAATTTCAAAACTCAGTGCGCTGTGCTGTTTTAATCAGGGCTCATAGTAGGAAAATACGTGTCATAACTTTAGAAACATTCTGCTCTCCAATATTCAGCTTTAAAGAAAAAAGAAGCTGAAACTCATTCACAAAAACGATATTTGGTAGCAGAGGAACATTGTGGCTTGGTCTTTTTTTAAAGCAATATAAAGCATAAATGTGTATCCTCTCATCACAGATAATGAATGAACCTTTTCATCAGCATTTTACTGTAATCCCCGTCTTTTCCCCTTAAAGTGGCTCCGTTATATCTCTCTCTCACTTTCACTGTGAGATACGAACACATCAGCTACAAACCAGGGTTTGAAGATTAAGTCCTTTGCCAGCAGAGGGCAGCAAAGTGACGTCAAATGAAACTAACAGCATAGAGAGTGAACACATGACCTCAAATAGCCTAGAGAAAGGCAGTGAAAGCACCTTTCACACAGAATGACAATCATGAGCTCTTGAGATAGCACGACAATTCACACAGTCCAGGGAATGTCATACAGAAAATCTCATAAATCACACAGTAGCGTAAAAACAGAACAGAAGCGTATCAGCACATATTCTCCACGCAAGCCAATGTGCATCAAAACCTGCAGGCTGTAAATCCCTGAATGTGCTCACAGTTCACATGAGCAACAATAACAATAGAAATCAATGACACAACAGCAACAGCTAAAAACATCCTGCCCGCTCAGTCTGTCACATTTGCACAAATAGTAAATGGCAGTGACCCTGCGAACATCAGAGACCCCGTGGACCCTGAGGCTGAAGAATCAGGGTCTCTAAGCTTCTTAAATCCCTCTTTACCTCCTAGCAAGGTGACAAGAGGAGGCGCCATCCTGCCGACGCACAAAACAGAGCCCACAACAGATGTTCCTCAAGGGGTGTTAGTGGTAAACTGAAGGGAAACCACAGCAGGTTTCTTCATGTTGATTGTGAACAAACAGTTCATGTTTGTATATCCCAGCTTTGTGAAAAGAGGCAGTGAGGTCTGCCGAGTCAGCCATTGTCATCCAGGTTGTAGAGAAGGACCTGGTGGTTGGGGGCAAGTCCTGGGCAGGTGCCCAGGCTGTACAGGCATCCGGCTGAGGGCACCAGTCGGTAATGTTGAAGCTCTTCCAGGCCAAACGCTGGAGAGCAGCAGTCCGTCACCAGCACCTTCACCCTCTTCCTGTTCGGGTACATCAGCGTCCGCTGCCCTCTCTCTCCAGTAACCTCCTCTTCTTCTTCTTCATCCTCCTCTTCTTCTACTTCATCATCTTCTTCCTCCTCCTCCTCAGCCTCCAGCTCCTCCTCCTCATGGTGGATCTTCCTCAGCAGGTTGTTGATGAGGACGGAGCGCCGCAGGTAGGCCTCGGGGTCCTCCAGGAACCTGAGCTTCTCCAGGGACAGCTTCAGGATGCAGCTCCGGTCCTCCTGCAGTATCAAGTGCTGCAGGTGACAAACATGAAGGCAGGACATTAGTTTGTGCTTTTACATTTTCACTTGCTTGTTGTATCCAAAGCGGTTTAGAAAAATCACTGTGTATAAAATCATAGCTAATACAAGCAGATAAAGAGGAGACTCAGGGTCAGAGCTACAGCACAAAAAAAACTAAATGATTCATGTACATTTCTTCTGAAGACGTCAGCAATCAGAAAACGTCGGACTGTGATAGCACTTCTGTGTTGAAAGTGACTCTTGAGCCTGATGCTCCAAATTTTATGAGACAACCACAGTTTTCTAGATGTACATGATGTGTGTCAACAGGCAACAATTCAAGAGACATGAGAAGTTCTTTGACTAAAACTAAGGCAGTCTAATCCAACAGTCAGGGAATAAATCCTCCTTCATGAAAGTGATAATGTTCAGTGTTGATTTAACTGTTTTAGAGAGGCGTTAATTGGATTAATTTAGCTAACAGCTCCTAAACCGCTGACTGAGTGTACAAGTAGAGACAGTTTGGAACTGGAAATTACTTTGATACTTGTTAAAAGTCACTTTTCATGCAAATATTTTAATCCTTGTAAATTTATGTTTAATCCTTTTGAAGTCTAGACTATTAGTTGGACAAAACAAGCACTGTGAAGGTGTCACTCTGGGCTCAGGCTCAGTCCAACAGGCATTTTTACAAGCCAAACAATCTGTTGGCTAATTGAAAAAATAATCAGGTGACTAATCCAGAATGGAAATAATCAGCAGATGCAGTCCTATTTAAAATGTCAAAGATTAACTGCAACTCAGTTACAAAAAAAAGATATGTCTTAATGTATGAGTAAAAATCATCTAAAAGTCACAGGGGCCACTTTCTGTATTATCTTTACTTTTAATGTTTTGCACACATTTTCCTGATTATACTTGTATACCTTTAATTACACAGCCCACTGTGCTTTTCCTTGCTTTTTGACTTATCTGCAATGTTACAATGGCGAATTATCATCTTAGACATGACCTAAAATATGATGTATGTTCTAGTATTTCTATGCAATGCAGGACTTGTAATGGACTTGTAAATTTGTACAGTGCTGCATTTTCTTTAAGGCTCTGATTACTTCCTGAACCACAGCCAGCAGGAGAGCCAGCAGTTCCAAGAAGCAAACCTTAGCCAGCAGTGATTTTTGCATTACTAATTCTCTGGTAGAGAGTAGTGAAGCAAGTTTTGTAACCATCACAGTGAATCTTAGCTAAGCTGGAAGCTGTGGTTTAGATTTTACTGTGAAGTGAACCAAACGGTGTCATGTGCATAAAATGAGTGTGGCTATAGCAGCGTCTCTACAGGACTGTTTTGTAAGGCATGTAGTGACAAATGCTGAGGGCATAAGGAGGGACAAATAATAGAGTCAAATGTATGTAATGGGGGAAAAGTACAGATGGAGGCTATGGTGTCGGCAAAAACATAAATCAGAAAAGTGGGTGGAGAAACTGCAGCACACAAAGGAGAAAGGAGGGATGTAAAATAAAGTCCAGAAACACTTGGACATGGCTCAGCAAACAATTCAGATAAGTCATGAGAGCAAATGAAAAGTGCCCTGAAGGTTGGCCTTGGATGTCAAAAGAACAATTTAGACAAGGAAAAGGAAAAAGGAAAAGGACAGGGTCATACTTTTTGAAAATATCCATGGAGGCCTCCATGTAAATCTTCCTCCTCCGCATATTTCCGCTTGAAGTAAGCAACTTTCGACGTCGTTGAATGGTTTGGTCTCTCTCACAGGGACGGGGCTGCTGGAGGCCAGAGGGCAGAGATGAGACTACAGATCTCACAGAGGGAAGGCTGGAAACGTGTTTCAGTACAAAAACACTGGTGTTTGTAAAACCTTCATTATCATTAGCAAATGTGCTGAAGTTTCTGTTTCACACTCTGGAGGACTAAACAGTTTTTTTCCCTTAGCTACGAACAAGAGAGTTTCAAAACACCGGTAGTGAGCTGGGACGAAGTTTGGCAACCAAAAGTGTTTATCTTTAAGGTTGTTTAGGTTTTCAGTCCATTTTCAGCCTGATTCAAGCATCATCTGTAGTGAATATATTTTATAGTTTCCATTTTACATTCAATCAGCTGCAGACTCAGTAAGCAAATGAGTACAAGATAAATTCCTACTTTTGAAAAAGGTCTCTGTGAACCATAAGGTTTCACTGAGGTTACAACACGTCAGGAGACTTTGAACAGGCTGACCCCCATGATGGCAGGACTACACTAGCTAAGTGTGTCTAAAGTAGGTAAAACTCCACCTCCCCCAGCTACAACAGAAACATGCAAATGATGCATCAGCATTAACAAACTAATAACATCAGATATCATATATCGGTCACATGGGCGGAACAACTACTAACACGGTAACATTTATTTTGCTGCTTCATTCATACAGGACTTATATTCGGGATGGAGTAATGTGAAACTGAGGTACTAGCACATGTCCTTAAATTAAGGATGTCACTACGCCTTCACCACTGGTCAAGAAAGAATTTTCACATCTACATTATGAGTGGTCTTCCACTGCCAGTGCCGTCTCAAGCAGCTTCTAAACTGCTACCGCTGTGGTTGAGGTTTGGTGAGGCTGCAGGGAAATTCTGTGGTCACGTGTAAAAAAAATGACAGTGTGGACCGTTGAGTGCACAGTGTCCACAGGTAAAGCCACAGATTTTGATGATGTATCGCTCCACGTCAGCTTCCCTCCTACAAATGTTTTCTGGCTGCAGAACAACATCGTGCTTCCACCTTCCACAGCTTTGTGTCACTGCAGTCCTGCTGTCAGAGACTTGACTTTGGAGCAGCCGTAACGTAGCTGGGGCTGATCAACATGCGGTAACAGACAGTAGCTGTGAGTACCTGCTGCTGACGGTGCACAGCCAGCACTCAGCTCTCTGACTGGACTTTGAATCAGTGCGTCCAAGTCGACCTGAGCCTGCACATCGCCCTCGGACCCCTGCAACAGGAAACAGACCAAGAGGAGGGGGATGAGGAAGGGACAGGAGCCAAACAGGCGAGCGTGCCGGTAGAAACAAATCTGAGATCTGACATGACTTCCAACCTCAGACTAATATTTGATTTTCAGCATAGATTTCTGGATCTCCCTTTAAACAACTCTGCCTCTTGACTTTTGTACCTGACATAAGTTATTTATGTCAAACCTCCTACTTTAATGTAATTAAAGAAGGAAAATTTCAGGTTTTATTTACAACTAATAGCCTGATTTAGAAAAACAACTCCTCCACGCCAGTGAGCTGGAAACCAGAAAACAAGTTAAAAAAAAAAGAAAAGGATCATTTAAATAAAGTAACGTAAAACACATCCATTAAAACAATGAAAAGAATGGTGTGAGAAAAGATCTAAAAATGTTTAAAGATGATTCAAATGAACAAAATACAGCTATTTTATTTTATGAAGCTTTTTGTATGAAGCCTGATTCTAAAGTTTCTTATTTTTATTAATACATCTGAATTTTACTGAATATATTTTCACATTTAAAGCTGTATATTATCCAGATTTGATCCTTTAATGATGTTACACAATGTTGTGTTTATCTGTCATATCTCTGATAAAAACAAAACAAAAAATCTGGTCAAATCAAAAGGAGGAGTGATGAGGGGGTGGTGTGTGTGTGTGTGTGCGTGTGTGTGCGCGTGTGTGTGTGTGTGGGGGGGGTATTTCAAATGCCATAACTCAACCATAAACAGAGTGGGAAGCTTCATCCCTGTGAAACATTCACAAAGCTGCTGCAGTGACTCACTGGGTTTTAACGTCCAACTGCATCTGTGACAGAACCGTGCACGATGATGGAGGAGCGGCAGAGGCTGCGTGGGAAGTGTGTGTGCATGTATGTGTGTGCATTAAACATCTCCTCAGCAGCAATAATTTCACCAAACATTGTGCACAGTAGGACTTTACTTTTCTGTCTTAAAACCACCAAGTTCCTTAAGGTTAAGGTCAAATGTGAAACCTAAACTTATAGTTTTTGCCATAACAGCTTTTTATGAGGTAAGAAAAGTCTGGTTTGAGCTTTGTATCTTTTTTTACACAATTCAAATGATTCCAACCTGCAGAGGAAGGTGTTGTTAATTAAGAATCATTAAAATCTTCATCCTCAACCCATTAAGCAACATTAATTCTTTTGGACTTTATCAAAAATTGTTAATCACATTTGGAGTACAATGACAACATTATTTCTTTACTGCTACTTCTCTGGTTTATCACATTTCCCCCATTTGCATACCATCTCATTCACCCTATTTAACTGGCATTATTGTCTGATTTATCTCGGTTTTAAGGCTGTTTCAATGCATTACCCCACCTTGTGTAAAGCACTTTGAATTGGTGCATTAGCTACAAATAAACGTGCCTTTAACGTCCACATTAGAAACGAATAGCTGCTGTTCTAAAAACAAAACTAACACCAATAAACCCAACAAAGCTTCTTACCTTTAAATGATTCTGTCCCAGCTGAGGCCTCCCGTCCCCACACCGACTCAGCGACGCTCCAGCTCGGCCTGAAGTGCGCGGCTCCCTGGCTCGACTCCCTGGCTCGGCTCCTGCTGACAGCGGTGCAGACAGATCCAGCTCCGGGTTGACACGCTCACCGCTCTGCAGCCGCCTAAAATATCCCCCTTCACGGCAACAAGACACAACACACTCCGCTCCTGCCGCGCCCTCATTGGTCGTCGCGGAGGCAGATGTTTCCTGTTGCTAGGAGACTGAGTAAGCACGGCGATGACGTGCAGCATCACTCCGTATCTTCCGCATCCAAAGCTGTGGTTCTTCTTTTTACCAACACAGAGCCACTGAGCGACGTTTCCCGCATCCAAACTACAAGAGATGCTATTTTAAATAAACCCTAATACAAAATGAGTCAAAGTGTCATAATATCAGCCGCTATTCTGCAAAAACAAATAGACAACAGGCAAGAGACATAAAGCCCCTCCAACTCGTGTTGTTTGTAGTGATTTTACACCACTCTGTGCTCTTCCTTTCTTTTTTTGTAGTTGTTCTGCTGCTCTTTATAATAGTTTTGTGTGTCTTTGCAGTTGTTTGTTAGTTGCAGTTAAAGCTGATGGACCAATTAGTTCAGTGTCTTTGGAACAAGTAGCAGAAAAAGTTTCAAAATGAGATGAATACACTGAGGAAAATTAGACAGAAGGGAACGAGTTAAAGATGATTTGATGCAATACTGTCAATAAACAACAGGCACTGAGATACCCTCAGTCTCTGTAGAAATATTATAATGATATAAAGGAGGAAATACTAATATTAAAGGTAATAATAACAAATAAAGTTAAAAAAACGACTTCTTAAATATTAAATGTAATTCAGTTAACTTGTTTTTAGATTATAGGGATTAATTAAAATGAAATGATTTAATAAAAGGTTTTCTGAGCTATTTTAAAACCAGACATGAGGCAGGTGGCTGTGTGAGACCAAACCTGCCCAGAATGTACCTGCAATGCAAAGCAAACATAGAGGTCAGTTAAACATGGACCTAAACGGCACCTGCTCAACAGCAACATAAACAAACTGCTAATCCACATTTGTAGGCTCAGTCTCAAACCCTGTCATCTGCTGCCGAAGATTACACTCTCACATAAACACAGACACTTTGCCTAATCTCTAATAATCTGCTCCATGCGGTCTCCTTGGCACATTGTGGCCAAAGAATTAAAAGTAGAAATCTCTACCACCAGTCACAAGGAGATCAACTGTGTTCTTGTTGGTAGTTGTGGTTTAAAAGCCTCAGGCTCAGAATGAAGACATCTGAGCAGAGAAAACAGACGGCAGACAGATGATCCCACAGCGGGGAGCTTAGGGGTTTTATTGGCAACAACAAAACTTGGTACAAAAAGTGCACACTGGGTGCCACAGGGGCTCAGCATGCACGGCCCAGACCAGGGCTACGGGGGCTGAGGTCTCACTGATGTCCACTGCTCTCCTACGACTTCACTCCCATATCATAAAGACTTTTTTAAAATCCTGCAACATCTTCTAGTTTTACCTGATGACAATAGGGATGAGCTCAGGTTTATCCCCGACTGTGGACACAGCAGTCAGTGGTAAAAAGTAACTAAGTGCATTTACTCAAGTACCGTACTTAAGTACAATTTTGAGGTATCCATACTTGAGTATTTTTTCCTTTTCTACTACTTTGCACTTCAGATGCAACAGATACTATAATCATAAGACTTTACTGATTCTTGGTGTGAAATCCAGCAGAAGAGAAGGAAGTTAACATTAGCTCCAGCTTTAAACGTGATGTACACAAAACATCATAATATACATTCATGTGAAATGTGCCATTCTGCATAATAAGCACCTTTACTTTGGTACTTTAAGTATATTTTGTTGCTAAAACTTGTACTTTTACTTAAGCAACATTTTGAATGCAGGACATTTTACTTGTATTCTTGTAATGTGGTATTACTACTTTTACTTAAGTAAAGAAACTTGAGTACTTCTTCCACCACTCACAGCAGTTTAACAAAACAAATACATACATGAACAAAAACAAAAAAGGTCCAACTTTCATTGTTTCCAGAGCTTCCAACCCCATCACATGACCTTCAGTAACTCTTTTCACTGAGAAACTACCAAGTGTAGCTGAAAGCTTCAAAAACACAAGGAGTATTTGGAGCTAGCTACACTTCCCAGTGTTTTGTGGTCATACTGGGCATAGCCTGCAGCAAAAAAGCCTGAAATACTAACATGCTCACCCATTTTGGTAGTTGCATGCCCAGTTTGTGTTATGGGAGTCGTGTGACATGCGTCACATGCCGTGATTGTGTGTTGCCCTTCAGTGTTGGTAGATTTTGCCTTTACACAAAGCCAGGCTAGCTGTTTCCAGTCTTTCTGCTAAGCTAGGCTAATTGCCTCCATGTCCATACCTACTGCAGAAATCAGCACATAAGCAAGTAAACATGTCCTCCAAACAGTCCAATTCTTTAAACATCACCACTACTGTATTCATAGCCATAGTCAAAGATAAAATAAACTCTTGTTGACGTGACATCTCTACAGGGCCAAAGTGAATTTACATACATTTTATACAGAGCCTGTAAGACGGTTCACAGGGAAAATGCTAAAACAGTTTCTTTATACCAGTAAAATGCCCTCAAAGAACAAATCATTCATTCAAATGACAGTTTTATGCACTGAATATGCAGTTCCCTACAACTACTAACATGTGAAAAAAGAACTTCTGACAAGTTTAACTTTCTTTTGTTATATTTAGTGTCTTGGCTTTAGTCTTGCTTTCACTGTGTTTCAACACAATCTGCCCTGACTTGGACTCCAGCCCTGGTCCGGGCCTTGACATCAAGGCGCCCGCCCAGGGTCGGCAGGCTGAGTAAGCCCCCTACGCATGCAGTCCTACAGCAGCATTCACAGGGAACAACGAGAAGGCTTCATGCAAACTCGGATCATCTGTTCATCATGGTGGATATGTTTCATCTCAACATGTTACAGGCACTTACAGCTGTATGACATCTGCAGCACAGTCTGATTGCCTCTGGGATCTGAACTGAGCATGCAGATGTGTACCAATAGAAATCCTGGGAAATTTTTAAGAATGCTGAACATTGACTAGTTTAAAAAATATAGAGCAGATATGCTGATTCTGTACAACATGCATAAAATACACCGGTCTGTGCAGTACATACAGGTCATGTCACTATTGGCATCTGAAGCCCGTAGAACAGGAGTGCTGACATCAAATCTTGTGACTCATTTTCCAACAGGAGGTCAAGAGCAGGGCTGACATAACCTCTCATCAGCAAGTAACATCAATAAATAGACTAACACAGCGCTGTGAAAACCAGCCTTGTTGTCTGGGACATGATAGTTGTGACCTGACATTTTTAGGATCTATGCAGGCATCAAGTGCAGATGAACTGTTTCACAGGGTTTTCATTTTAAAACAAATTACAGTCTTGAACCAGCTCACACTGACACTGTAACTAGCTACAAACAGGTGACAAAGGAAAAGCCTGAGTTACTGAGCGGTTTCCTCCAGGATGACAGAGCCCCCCCTCATCCACAGGACACCAGGGGTCCCTGACTGGTCTGATGAGGAGGACCATGATGTGAACCAAACGCTGTGGCCTTCTCAGTCACCAGGTCTCAGCCCAGCTGAACAGCTATGGGAGATGTTGGAGCGACGTGTTAGACGGCGTCTCCACCACCATCATCAAAACACCACGAGGGAACATCTGTTGGAAGAACAGTGTTTATCCCTCATGGAGAGTCGGTGCCACGGTGGAGCTGTTCTGGTGGGACGTGGTGGCCCAGTATCTCATTGGGACTCTCTGTTACGGGCTCTTGTTTGTCATGTCCCTGTAGCTTGTTACATCTACAGTCTGTCAGCTGTCAAAACAGCTCCTTTTGTCTGCTGATGTCTGAAATTAAAGACCCACTGATTAATCATTTCTGAAGAATTTGTGTCAAATCTTCCACGCGCATCACTGTAAATCATAACTGTGCAGCTTTAGAGTTTTGGTCCTGACAGACGTAGCAGCAGGGGCGCGATGAAGGGTCAGCTTTTGTTTTATGATGTGCAAAATGACAAGTACACTAGTAAGATTCACTTTAGACAGCAAGAGAAAATGCTTGACTACAGAACCTGGTGCTGGTTGTTGGTTAGCAGTAACTGATGAGTCTGTCACTGACCTCTGCTTTGTTCTTTGACTCCAGCCAGATAAACGTGATTCAGGAACTCGCATTATGTTTATGTGCAATAATAAATAGATGAACAATTAAAAATACATGTACTCCACATTTGCTGGAGAGCATTAGGGTAGCAGCAGCACTCCTGTTGTTCAGCCACACTTTCATGTCGTCATTCCTGTACACACCTGCAGTTTGAACATGAGACACCTGCAGCTTGTTAACAGATACAGAAGCCATTCAGTTTTGGCCTTCAACGTGTCATTCATGAACTCAAAACCTTGTGTTCAGTCTTCAGTACTGGAAGCTTCCCTGAATCAGTTTCAACATAAATCACCATGTTCTCAGTGAAACAGAGAAGCAGCGCTGACGTGCACTATAGTGGACGAGCACTTGTAAACCTCGTTCATCTGTGAGCTTTGCTTTGAGCGAACCCACGCCAACATTTCACCAAGTGACAAACGCAGAGAGATGGAGGGTGAAGTTGGAGGGGTAATGAAAACCAGTTGTGTCTTAATGGTGTGAAATGTGTGATGACACTAAACATTATGAATCACAAGGGTCAGAAGGTTCAGAGTTGGTCTGCGCATGTGGTCGGTAAACGATGAGATGAAGCTCACTGTGAACCCAAGGGTCCCTCTCTGCACGTTGACCTCTACGAGCGCCTCCTTTCACTCTGGCATTTGATTTTATTATAAAAATGATTATTGCTTCTCTTGCAGTGGCAGATCATGAATCATTTTGTGCAGCCTGATATCTCCAGGAATGGCGCCCAGATTGTATGATTCCACACCCCACGGAGCGTGTCCTTTATGTAGCGAGGACACGGCTAAGGCTTTGAGCGAGTCCACCATCAGGAGACCCCAGTTTTTGCCTAGTCACTCAGACCTGCAGCTGAAGGAGAGCTCTGCTGAGTTTACACCGCCTTCAGGCTCCATTCACCACTACTCATATAACACGCCTGAAAAAGTTTCTACGCAAATTGTTCAATGAATAATAATCAAAACAATATAATAATATTTGTTAGTGCTTTAAGCAGCAAAACCAAACTTGTATTCATGTCTACTGTACTGGGGTGAACATCGCTATAAAACCAAACCTGTGGATCGTTAAATGTCTCTAGGGCTGCGTGGGAAAGGGGCAACGCTGTAATCCAAAGGAATTTGCATGAGCATCACACATTTAGTTTGTTGTGCTGCCAACTGTCATGTCTTTATATGCATCACAGCTCCATTTAGCAGTAATTTCTTGCTTCCTATCAGTTTTCAAACTGAGCTGCAATTTCACACTCAATAAAGAGGCTTTCTTGCTTTCTTGTCACCTGCATGAAGAAAACAAATCCTCAAATAAACCTACCAGTTCTGTGTGTGCACCCCTGAGGGGTTTGCAGCCACAGTATGTGTCTACACACAGATATAATCCCCCCCCTGGGCTCGGCTGCTGCCTTATGACTCAACGATGCTCAGACAGGAAGAGGAAGAGCATTAGCAGCAGCATTACCGTCATCACTCTGTACGGGTCTACAGCTCTAACCACCAATTATCACAGAGAGAGTGTGGAAAAAAAACACACACTTCCAGGGTAAGTCATCGCATGTTACCAACAGCTGCAGTGGGATATTTAAAGCCTCTTTTGAGCTCAGTGTTGATGGGTGCTGAAATGAGATTTGCCCTGTGAATGAGAATGAGTGGAGGCCAAGTAACATGAATGGGGGGGCTCTAATCCTAACAAGGCTAAGAGTCTCCAGCTGCTGCTCTTCCTGTCTGTTGTAGCATGTGTCAGGAGAGTGTGAATGGCTGTGTAGCAGACGCCTTCGTCCTCCACTTGAACCATAAAGCCTTACTTCTACTCGTGTTTGTTGCTTTACTACTTTAGTATTTCTCGGCCATGATCCTTCAGCGACATCAACAGTGATCTTAAGCTGTGATCCCATATTAGCCCATCCATCCACGGGCTTTGCTGCCACGTTCAGAGGTAATCG